AGAGCCAGTTAACCTCCCATCTTGTCTTTGGAGTGTGTGAGGAAACTGGAGTACCTGGAGGAAACCCACACAGGCACAGGGAGAACATGCAAACTCAAGGTAGGCAGTGCCATGGTTGGGATTTGAACCAACGACCCTACTACTGCCAGGTGGAAGTGCTAACCATTTAGCCACTGTGCTGCCCATCCTTCAATTAAAATACTCCCTGTTTATGGGTGGCTACATTACATCTCCACTGTATCTTTGGTGGGAGCTGTCAGCAATCTCAGGCCGGCCATGCTCATATTTATGTGTATGAGCAGAATGTACATACTTATGGGCATAGCTGTATAACTGGACTTGAAAGGATGAGAACCAGGGCTTTTTTTCAGCGGGAACGTGGGACAACGCAGGTCCGGCACCTCCAGCACTGAATGTATGTAATGGCAAGGGGGGCTGGGGTGTGCTGGAGGGTCTATTGATACTGTCTATTTGTGATTGGGGTCTGTTGTTCCTGGGAAGTCTATTGTTGCTGATGGGGTATCTATTGTTTCTGGGGGGCTTATGTTGCTGGGGGTTCAATTTATGCTGGGAGGGATCTACTGTTGACAGAGATGTCGATTGATAATGGTTGCTGGGAGATCTGGTGTAGCTGCTGGGGGGGGGGGGCTATTGTTGCTGGGAGGGTCAATTTTTTTTCTGGTGGGGAGTCTATTGTTGCTGGGGGGGGGGGTCTTATGTTGCTGAGGGTTCAATTGCTGCTGGGAGATATCTACTGTTGACAGAGAAGTCTATTGATGATGGTTGCTGGGAGATATGGTGGTGCTGCTGGGTGACTATTGTGGCGGGGGGGCTCTATTGTTGCTGGTGGGGAATCTGTTGTTGATGGGTGGGTCTTATGTTGCTGAGGGTTTAATTGCTGCTGGGAGAGATCTACTGTTGACAGAGAGGTCTATTGATGATGGCTGCTGGGAGATATGGTGTTGCTGCTGGAAGACTATTGTTGCTAGGGTTGTATTTTGTTCTGTGGGGGTCCATTGTTGCTGGGGGGTCTATTGTTGTAGAGGGGATCTATTGTTGTTGGCGGGGGTTTAATATGTGGAGGGATTAATTGTTGCTGGCTACAGAGGATCTATTTTACTACTTTTCTTGTTATAATTGGCAAATTCCATACAAAATTACTTAGCACCACAAAATGATACTTGGTTCCGTACTCTATAAAAGGGGCGGTACTGGGGGGTGGGTAGAGGGTGGAACCAAAGCATGGTGCTCGGGGGTGGGCAGGGGGCGGAGACAAGGGGGGATTCAGAAACGGGGAGTTCCTGCACCTATTCTCTGAGGAAAAAAAAGCCCTAGTGAGACCGCACATGTGCACATGCCATGGCACATACGTGGATACACGGGCATGCCCACAGACCCTGGTGCTTGAGGCCGGCCTAGTATCATTGCTGGATGGTCTTCGGTTTTACCCTTGTGACTTGTGTTCCTGAAAGCCTGCTTCATCCTCTTAGTGACCCGGCCCCGGCTGACTCTTCTCTGGGTTCCCCTTGCCTGCTCATATCTGCTGCTTATTCGTGTTACTATAACTAGTGATGGGCCGAACACTTTCTGTTAGTTTCTTGGTCGAACATTCGAACCTACAGAATATTGGACCGCGAACTTTGGACAGGAACAATATACTGAGCGGTATCTTCCTGCATCTGAGTATATGGTAAGATACCACCTAATTACTAAAATCCGTCCTGAGTTCTATTAGGAAGTCATGGGGTATTTTAGTAGTGAAACATTCATTCATGTTTCAGCTGTCAGTGGGGTTTCGAAATTAAAGAAATAAAAAAAAATGTGGGGTCCCCCCTCCCATCCATACCAACCCCTTCGAGTCAGGTATTGATTTTGATTTATTAATTTTTTAAAAAATGGCGTGGGGGTCCCCCCAAAATCCATACTAGACCCTTATCCGAGCATGCAGCCCGGCAGGTCAGGAAAGGGGGAACGAGCGAGCGCCCCCCCCCTCCTGAACCATACCAGGCCACATACCCTCAAAATGGGGGGGTGCTTTGGGGCAGGGGGGCTCCCTCCCCCAAAGCACCTCGCCCCCATGTTGATGTGGACAAGGGCCTCTCCCCCACAACCCTGGTTTTGCAGGTGGGAGGCTTATCGGAATCTGGAAGTCCCCTTTGACAAGGGGGCTACCAGATCCTGACCCCTCCTACCCATTCACACAAAAAAAAGTGTAATGTAAAAATGACAGGAGACAGTCTTTGACAAGTTCTTTATTGAAAATAAAAAATGTCCTCCGAAGTAGAATCAACGTCATCCACGATGCCCACTACCGCCACTGCCTAAAAAAAAGAAAAAAAACACTCCACTCTGGATGCCGGCTCCCACCGTCTGACAGCTGTGCCAGGATGACAGTTCTTAAATACTGTCATGACATCACAAGGGAGCGGGGTTCACCCCGCCCCCTTGTGACGTCTTCCTGTGCTGTGAATGGCCAAACCATTGCTTTGACCAATCACAATTCACGGTCAGAGAACACACGAACAGTCAATGTTCGACTCGAACATTCAGCCCAACACTAATTATATTGTAAGTGACAGTCCAGCACCGACATAAAATAATATTACAATTCTTTTTTCATAATCCATCAAGGCATAAAAAGAATCCGTCTGGTGAAAGATGGACGCGTTTCAGCCCAACAAACTCTGGGCCTTAGTCATTATCCTATTGATTTGTGGGGCTGAAACGCGTCAATCTTTTCACTGGATGGATTCTTTTTATGCCTGGATGGATTGTGAATAAAGAATTGTAATTTTATGTCAGACCATGTCAGTGCTGGACCTTCACTTACGTTACGGTTTCCTACGGTATGTACAACCTTGTCCTGGAATAGCCAATGTATGTAGTGTGATGGCGCCGCTCCAAGCTGGAGCCCAGTAATCATCTCACCAGTATAAAAAGGGGAGCGGTGTCCTCACATTTCTCCAGTCATGTGCGCGTAATGTGAGGAAGGACGCCGCTCTAACTGCTCTTGGAGTCCTGTGTGAAGATGGCATCTGCCGTCGCTCTAGCCAAGCCACTGACGCGTTTCACCTGCCCACTGGGGCTTGGTCACAGAGGAGTTATGGTTTCCTACGGTATGTACAACGTTGTCCTGGTATAGCCAATGTATGTAGTGTGTTGATGCCGCTCCAAGCTGGAGCTCAGTAGACAACTCCCCAGTATGAAAAGGGGAGCGGTGTCCTCAAATGTCTTCAGTAATGTGGGCGTAATGTGAGGAAGGACGCCGCTCTAACTGATCTTGGAGTCCAATGTGAAGATGGCATCCGCCATCTCTCCGGCCAAGCCACTGACGCGTTTCACCCTGCCCACCGGGGCTTGGTCACAGAGGAGTTATGGTTTCCTACGGTATGTACAACATTGTCCTGGTATAGCCAATGTATGTAGTGTGATGACGCCGCTCCAAGCTAGAACCCAGTAATCATCTCACCAGTATAAAAGGGAGAGCGGTGTCCTCAAATTTCTCCAGTCACGTGGGCGTAATGTGAGGAAGGACGCCGCTCTAACCGCTCATGGAGTCCTATGTGAAGATGGCATCTGCCGTCGCTCCGGCCAAGCCACTGACGCGTTTCATCCTGCCCACCGGGGCTTGGTCACAGAGGAGTTATGGTTTTCTACGGTATGTACAACGTTGTCCTGTTATAGCCGATGTATGTAGTGTGATGGCGCCGCTCCAAGCTGGAGCTCAGTAATCACCTCACCAGTATAAAAGGGGGAGCGGTGTCCTCAATTGTCTCCAGTCATGTGGGCGTAATGTGAGGAAGGACGCCGCTCTAACTGCTCTTGGAGTCCAATGTGAAGATGGCATCTGCCGTCACTCCGGCCAAGCTGCTGACATGTTTCACCCTGCCCACCGGGGCTTGGTCACAGAGGAGTTATGGTTTCCTATGGTATGTACAACGTTGTCCTGGTATAGCCAATGTATGTAGTGTGATGGCGCCGCTCCAAGCTGGAGCCCAGTAATCATCTCACCAGTATAAAAGGGGGAGCGGTGTCCTCAAATGTCTCCAGTCACATAGGCGTAATGTAAGGAAGGACGCCGCTCTAACCGCTCTTGGAGTCCTATGTGAAGATGGCATCTGCCGTCACTCCGGCCAAGCCACTGGCGCATTTCACCCTGCCCAGCGGGACTTGTTCACAGAGGAGTTATGGTTTCCTACGGTATGTTCAACGTTGTCCTGGCTCATTTATCTCTTCATCCCATAGCTAAAAAAATCCTGGACTTGCAGCACTGTAACTTTTCTATTATTCCTGTTATTGACCCCAGCCTGTATGACTACGATTCTGCCTGCCTTCCTTGCACCTCGCTGCCAGCATGTTGCTGACCTTAACCTGTGCCTAGTCTGGACTCTGATTGTGATCTTATACCCATCTGCCTGGCTGTTACAGAACTCAGCTTGTGACTCTGTTGTTACTGTAGGGGATCTATTATTGCATGGTGGTTTATTGTTCTTGGGGGGTTATATTGTTTCTGCAGGGGGCTTATGTTGTTGTAGTGTCAAAGATTGATGGAAGGGATCTACTGAAGGGGAAGTGGTCTATTGCTGCTGACTGCTGGGAGATTAATTGTTGCTGGAGGGGATCTATTTTTGTATGGTTGTCTGTTGTTGCTGGGGAGGTCTATTGTTGCTGGGGAGGTCAATTGCTACAAGGGATCTCCTGTTGAGATAGAGGGTCCATGTTGCTGGCTCCTAAAGAGTCTAATGATGCTGGCTGCTGGGAGATAAGTTGTTGTTGCTGGGGGTCTATTGTTGTTAGGATTGTATTTTGTTGTGGGGGTCCATTGTTGCTGGGGGGGAGTTATTTCTCTGTTGGCTGTGGAGGATCTATTTTACTGCTTTTCTTATTATCAGTAAAAAAAATTCCATACCATTTAATCAGCACCACAAAATTATACTTGGTTCTGTATTCTCTAAAAGGGGTGGTACTTTGAGGTGGGCAGGGGTTGGAACCAAGGGACAGTGCTCAGAGGTGGGTAGGGAGCTGGAACCAAGGGACGGTGCTCAGAGGTGGGTAGGGAGCTGGAACTAAGGGACAGTGCTCAGAGGTGAGTAGTGGCTGAAACCAAGGGACGGTGCTCGGAGGTGGGTAGGGGTTGGAACCAAGGGACAGTGCTCGGAGGTGAGTAGGGGCTGAAACCAAGGGACAGTGCTCGGAGGTGGGTAGTGGGTTGGAACCAAGGGACAGTGCTCAGAGGTGAGTAGGGGCTGAAACCAAGGGACAGTGCTCAGAGGTGAGTAGGGGCTGAAACCAAGGGACGGTGCTCGCAGGTGGGTAGGGGCTGGAACCAAGGGACAGTGCTCGGAGGTGGGTAGGGGCTGGAACCAAGGGATGGTGCTCGGAGGTGGGTACGGGCTGAACCAAGGGATGGTGCTCGGAAGTGGGCAGGGGCTGGAACCAAAGTACAGTGCTCGGAGGTGGGTAAGGGCTGGAACCAAATTACAGTGCTCGGAGGTGGGTAGGGGCTGGAACCAAGGAATAGTGCTCGGAGGTGGGTAGGGGGCTGGAACCAAGGGACGGTGCTCGGAGGTGGGTAGGGGTTGGAACCAAGGGACGGTGATCGGAGGTGGGTAGGGGCTGGAACCAAGGGATGGTGCTCGGAGGTGGGTACGGGCTGAACCAAGGGATGGTGCTCGGAAGTGGGGCAGGGGCTGGAACCAAAGTACAGTGCTCGGAGGTGGGTAGGGGCTGGGAACCAAGGAATAGTGCTCGGAGGTGGGTAGGGGGCTGGAACCAAGGGACGGTGCTCGGAGGTGGGTAGGGGCTGGAACCAAAGGACAGTGCTCAGAGGTGGGTAGGGGCTGGAACCAAGGGATGGTGCTCGGAGGTGGGTACGGGCTGAACCAAGGGATGGTGCTCGGAAGTGGGCAGGGGCTGGAACCAAAGTACAGTGCTCGGAGGTGGGTAGGGGCTGGAACCAAAGTACAGTGCTCGGAGGTGGGTAGGGGCTGGAACCAAGGAATAGTGCTCGGAGGTGGGTAGGGGGCTGGAACCAAGGGACGGTGCTCGGAGGTGGGTAGGGGCTAGAACCAAGGGACGGTGCTCGGAGGTATGTACGGGCTGAACCAAGGGATGGTGCTCGGAAGTGGGCAGGGGCTGGAACCAAAGGACAGTGCTCGGAGGTGGGTAGGGGCTGGAACCAAAGTACATTGCTCGGAGGTGGGTAGGGGCTGGAACCAAGGAATAGTGCTCGGAGGTGGGTAGGGGGCTGGAACCAAGGGACGGTGCTCGGAGGTGGGTAGGGGCTGGAACCAAGGGACGGTGATCGGAGGTGGGTAGGGGCTGGAACCAAGGGATGGTGCTCGGAGGTGGGTACGGGCTGAACTAAGGGACGGTGCTCGGAAGTGGGCAGGGGCTGGAACATAAGGACAGTGCTCGGAGGTGGGTAGGGGCTGGAACCAAGGGACGGTGCTCAGAGGTGGGTAGGGAGCTGGAACCAAGGGAGGTGCTCGGAGGTGGATAGGGTGCTGGAACCAAGAGACAGTGCTTGGAGGTGAGTAGGGGCTGAAACCAAGGGACGGTGCTCGGAGGTGGGTAGAGGGTTGGAACCAAGGGACGGTGCTCAGAGGTGGGTAGGGGTTGGAACCAAGAGACAGTGCTCGGAGGTGGGTTGGGGCTGGAACCAAGGGACGGTGCTCGGAAATGGGCAGGGGCTGGAACCAAAGGACAGTGCTCGGAGGTGGGTAGGGGCTGGAACCAAAGGACAGTGCTCGGAGGTGGGTAGGGGCTGGAACCAAGGGATAGTGCTCAGAGGTGGGTAGGGGGCTGGAACCAAGGGACGGTGCTCGGAGGTGGGCAGAGGCTGGAACCAAGGGACGGTGCTCTGAGGTGGGTAGGGGCTAGAACCAAGGGACGGTGCTCGGAGGTGGGTAGGGGCTGGAACCAAGGGACAGTGATCGGAGGTGGGTAGGGGCTGGAACCAAGGGATGGTGCTCGGAGGTGGGTACGGGCTGAACTAAGGGACAGTGCTCGGAACTGGGCAGGGGCTGGAACATAAGGACAGTGCTCGAAGGTGGGTAGGGGCTGGAACCAAGGGACGGTGCTCAGAGGTGGGTAGGGAGCTGGAACCAAGGGAGGTGCTCGGAGGTGGATAGGGTGCTGGAACCAAGAGACAGTGCTTGGAGGTGAGTAGGGGCTGAAACCAAGGGACAGTGCTCGGAGGTGGGTAGAGGGTTGGAACCAAGGGACGGTGCTCAGAGGTGGGTTGGGGCTGGAACCAAAGGACAGTGCTCGGAGGTGGGTAGGGGCTGGAACCAAGGGATAGTGCTCAGAGGTGGGTAGGGGGCTGGAACCAAAGTACATTGCTCGGAGGTGGGTAGGGGCTGGAACCAAGGAATAGTGCTCGGAGGTGGGTAGGGGGCTGGAACCAAGGGACGGTGCTCGGAGGTGGGTAGGGGCTGGAACCAAGGGACGGTGATCGGAGGTGGGTAGGGGCTGGAACCAAGGGATGGTGCTCGGAGGTGGGTACGGGCTGAACTAAGGGACGGTGCTCGGAAGTGGGCAGGGGCTGGAACATAAGGACAGTGCTCGGAGGTGGGTAGGGCTGGAACCAAGGGACGGTGCTCAGAGGTGGGTAGGGAGCTGGAACCAAGGGAGGTGCTCGGAGGTGGATAGGGTGCTGGAACCAAGAGACAGTGCTTGGAGGTGAGTAGGGGCTGAAACCAAGGGACGGTGCTCGGAGGTGGGTAGAGGGTTGGAACCAAGGGACGGTGCTCAGAGGTGGGTAGGGGTTGGAACCAAGAGACAGTGCTCGGAGGTGGGTTGGGGCTGGAACCAAGGGACGGTGCTCGGAAATGGGGCAGGGGCTGGAACCAAAGGACAGTGCTCGGAGGTGGGTAGGGGCTGGAACCAAAGGACAGTGCTCGGAGGTGGGTAGGGGCTGGAACCAAGGGATAGTGCTCAGAGGTGGGTAGGGGGCTGGAACCAAGGGACGGTGCTCGGAGGTGGGCAGAGGCTGGAACCAAGGGACGGTGCTCTGAGGTGGGTAGGGGCTAGAACCAAGGGGACGGTGCTCGGAGGTGGGTAGGGGCTGGAACCAAGGGACAGTGATCGGAGGTGGGTAGGGGCTGGAACCAAGGGATGGTGCTCGGAGGTGGGTACGGGCTGAACTAAGGGACAGTGCTCGGAACTGGGCAGGGGCTGGAACATAAGGACAGTGCTCGAAGGTGGGTAGGGGCTGGAACCAAGGGACGGTGCTCAGAGGTGGGTAGGGAGCTGGAACCAAGGGAGGTGCTCGGAGGTGGATAGGGTGCTGGAACCAAGAGACAGTGCTTGGAGGTGAGTAGGGGCTGAAACCAAGGGACAGTGCTCGGAGGTGGGTAGAGGGTTGGAACCAAGGGACGGTGCTCAGAGGTGGGTTGGGGCTGGAACCAAAGGACAGTGCTCGGAGGTGGGTAGGGGCTGGAACCAAGGGATAGTGCTCAGAGGTGGGTAGGGGGCTGGAACCAAGGGACGGTGCTCGGAGGTGGGCAGGGGCTGGAACCAAGGGACGGTGCTCTGAGGTGGGTAGGGGCTAGAACCAAGGGACGGTGCTCGGAGGTGGGTAGGGGCTGGAACCAAGGGACAGTGATCGGAGGTGGGTAGGGGCTGGAACCAAGGGACGGTGCTCAGAGGTGGGTAAGGGTTGGAACCAAGAGACAGTGCTCGGAGGTGGGATGGGGCTGGAACCAAGGGATGGTGCTCGGAAATGGGCAGGGGCTGGAACCAAAGAACAGTGCTCGGAGGTGGGTAGGGGCTGGAACCAAAGGACAGTGCTCGGAGGTGGGTAGGGGCTGGAACCAAGGGATAGTGCTCAGAGGTGGGTAGGGGGCTGGAACCAAGGGACAGTGCTCGGAGGTGGGCAGGGGCTGGAACCAAGGGACGGTGCTCTGAGGTGGGCAGGGGCTAGAACCAAGGGACGGTGCTCGGAGGTGGGTAGGGGCTGGAACCAAGGGACGGTGATCGGAGGTGGGTAGGGGCTGGAACCAGGGATGGTGCTCGGAGGTGGGTAGGGGCTGGAACCAAGGGACAGTGCTCGGAGGTGGGTAGGGGAAGGAGACAAGAAGTCACTCAGAAGGAGGTAGTTCCTGTAACTATTCTCTGAGAAAAAAAACACAGTAACACACGAACAGCCCATGTTACGTTCGACTCGAACATGAAGCCCATCACTATCCAACAACTAGCTCTAGTATAATCTCTGTCACTAATCATAGATCCCAGCCTATACACACCCAATGTTGTCATTGAATCCTTAGTATAACATATAATACCTTTTTTTAGCGCTGGTATGTAGCATTGAAAGCACTGGAGACCCGGCCTCATGGGCCGATTGGAAATGCCTTCTTTTTGATTATTATTTTGGCATGGTATAAGTCAAATATAGGGAGCGGTTTGGAGAAATCACAGAGGGCTCACTTTTCTTATAAAAATTTGCTGATAACAGCAAAGTAAGGAAACAAGGAAAAAAAAAAGAAGATTCGCTTGAGGATGTAATCAACGTGATTAGCATTAGTGATCGTTCCACCTACAGACCACTGAATTATTCATGATCCCCGACTGATCAGGATGACTCCAGCGGCTGTAAAATTTCCCAAGTATGTCCTGATTTCCTCTGATTTACAGGTTGGCTTGAAAGGGAGAAAGGGAGGACGTCTCATCCCTCCAATGGAAGCCAAACCTTTTTTTTTTTTCTTCGTATCCATCATTAGCCCGGGTTCACACTGATGCGGTGCGGAATTTGCAGCGTTTTCTGTGCGAATTCCGTACCGCATAAGAATCGCGCCCCGTTCATGCGAACCGCTGCGGGTGTGTATTTTAAGTTAACACCTTGAAAGCGGTCCGCAAAACGTGGTGCGATGTACAGAATCGGATCGCATAGGTGTGAATACCCGTGAGATCCGATTCTAGTGAGGACCCAAAAAAGGGTCCTGCACCTTATTGGTGTGGATGCGGCGCGATTAGAGCCATACAAAATGTACGTCTCCAATCGCACCGCACGCAAATCACATGTGATTATACCGCACCGCATATATGTGAACCCGAGCACAATGTTTCCTCTATTACATTACATGTACATTGTATCAGAAGTTACACATACCTGTGTTTTAGGCTCCGTTCACACCTATGCAGTTTGCTATTTGTCCGTTTTGCAGTGCTTTTTGCAGTTCGTTTTGCGTTTTTCTACACGCGTTCTTGATGCGTTTTTACTGCATTGTGCGTTTTGTTCAACCCTTTTCTTTCTTTCTTTCTTTTTTTTTGCTGGGCAGAATAAAAATGCAGAACACAGCAAAAAAACGGCAAAATGCACTACCATGCATTTCAGCAGGTTCTCCATTGATATTTCCTAATTCAAATGCATTGAAAAAATTTGAATCTAGTCGAAAACAAATAAACCAAACTAAACAAAACAAATTTTGTTATAAATGCAGCGAAACTAAACTAGTAACTTAGTGTTACAAAACCCCGGACCCTGCATTCACTATATCCGCTCTCCCCGGACCCCGCATTCACTATATCCGCTCTCCCCGGACCCCGCATTCACTATATCCGCTCTCCCCAGACCCCGCATTCACTATAT